GCGTGGTGACGCGTCGGAAGGAGGGCACAGGGGGGTCGCGGTGGATCCGCAGCTCCTTGGTGGTGCGGAAGGTTGGGGGCTCTATGGGGCTCTTGAAGCTGCTAAGATGCATCATGGGGGGTGCTGCCCCCTGCCCCTTTCGCAGCAGCTGGTACCGCACCAGCCGTGCCCCCGGGGGACTCCTCAGAGCTGGGGGATACCAGCCCAGATATACCCAGCCCATCCAACCCAGGAGAGCCAGCATGGGCAGCAGCAGCAGCAGCAAGGAGGCCAGGTAAAGCGCCAGGTGCAGCAGGCAGCAATGGGCTAGCACCCAGTGGCCCCACTGTGGGCCCTCCCTGCCCTGCTGATGCCCAATGGGTATCGCTGGGGGTGGGGTGGGGCATGTGCAGAGGCGGGGAGCCCCCATCGGAGGGGGTGGCTGGTGGCAGGGGGTGATGTGGAGAGGGCTGGTATGGAAGGGAGGCGAGGGGATAAGGGAGGTGATGGGAGTCATGGGGGTGCTGGGGATCCGTGGCGATGCAAGTTCTGGGGCAGTAGTGGGGGGCATGGTGGTGGTTGGGGGCAAGGTGGTGGAGGGGGCAGTAGTGGGAGGCACAGGGGTGGTTGGGAGCTGGGTGGTGGAGGGGGCAGTAGTGGGGGGCTCAGGAGTGGTTGGGGGCTGGGTGGTGGAGGGGGCAATAGTGGGAGGCACGGGAGTGGTTGCGGGCAGGGTGGTGGAGGAGGCAATAGTGGGGGGTACAGGGTTAGTTGGGGGCAGGGTGGTGGAGGAGGCAATAGTGGGGGGTACAGGGTTAGTTGGGGGCAGGGTGGTGGAGGGGACAGTAGCAGAGGGCACTGGGGTTCCCTCCTCTGTCATTGTCCCATCGATATCCAAGTCTGTGTCCCCTGCTTTGCTGCAGGCCTGCTGGAACTCGAGGACAGGGCTCCCGTGGTGTCTGAGGGGCTCATCGCACACGGGGCTGTGGGGATCATTCTCAGTCAGCAGCCCGTCTGGCCTCTGCTCCTGGATGTAGATGCTGAAGTCGTTGTCCTCAATCCAGCCCCGCAGATAGGCCAGGCCACAGTCACAGCGCCAGGGGTTCCCTGCTAGGTAGACATAGGCCAATATGTGCCCCTCGGGGAAGAAGCCGCTGGGCAGAGTGCGGAGCTGGTTCCCTGACAGCGACAGCTTATCCAGCTTCAGCCCAGCCAACAGCCGCCGCGGCAGCTCCTCCAGGGCGTTATCAGACAGGTCCAGGTCCTTCAACATGGCCAGGCCCTCAAAGGCCTCTTCTGGCAGCGTCCGCAGCTGGTTCCCCCGTAGATTCAGCTCCGTCAGCTGCCCCACATCCCGGAAGGCCCCTGGCAGCAGCCCTGAAATGTTATTGTGAGCCAGGACTAGGCAAGTGAGGGCAGGCAGGCCCTGCAGTGTGGGCAGCACCCCCAGGGCATTGTGGGACAGGACCAGCTCCTGCAGCAAGGGCAGGGGGGGCCCAGTGTGCAGCACCCCCAGTGCATTGCCTGACAGGTCCAGCTCAGCCAGCTCAGGGAGGTGCTGGAAGGCGGCAGTGGAGACGGACGCCAGGCGGTTGGAGCTGAGCAGCAGGATGCTGGTGTTTGTGGGCAGGGCAAGTGGCACCACGCTGAGCCCCTGCCCGGAGCAGTTCACACGCAGTCGGTGCTTGAACGTGTTCATCTCGGACGGGCATGGCTCCCCTGGACCCACAGCGTCAGCCACGGAGAGCAGGGCCAGGAGGGCTAGGTGAGGTGAGGTGGGGCACAGCATGGTCTGCAGGGGAGACAAGAGCATGCTCAGGACACAGACATCACAGGGCATGTCTACACTAACCAGCTCAGACTGCAACTGAGACTTATGACTCCCCAGTCTGGAGTGCTGGGGACAACTCCCGGTGGGATATCCCACAATGGTCCCATCTACACCAACCCAGCTGGTGCTGCAACAGAGTTGGGTCCCCTGAGCAGATACTAGCTCTAATAACAAGGGCTCCCTAGCTCCCCAGTGCCCTCTGTCCCATCAGGTACCTGCACCCTGACCACATTGGGGACCAGCTATACTAACCCCGCTGGTGCTGTAACAGTGTCAGGGAGCTGCCATTAGCACCACGGACAAGGAATTGACTCCCCCACACCTCCAGCCTGGACTAAACTCAAAAGGTTTGAATCAATCCCTGTAGTTTCCTTTTCACCTAATCCCGTATCTTCTGCTCCCCTTATAGCCACGGCAGCTGGTCCAGCCAGGAGACGCCCCCCCGCCGCCAGGTAATTACCACATCCAGTCCCCACCTGCCTGTATCACCTGCCTTTGCTTCAACCACTTCCCCCAGTGGCATCTGCGTGAGGGGAGCACGATTAAAGCATCTGGCATTTAGTGCCTTCAGCACCGGGTGAGGGATCACTGTGTAAACAGCCCCTATGCCCCGCTCTAGAGGGGGTACATCCCTGGATTAAACAGCTTCCCCCCACCCGGAATTTCCTGTACAAACAGCTGCCCCACCCCAGAGGTGGCTGCATCTCACTGATGCTTACCCGTCCCTATGGACTCACCTGGGGTCTCTGCAGGGGTTGCTCTCCCACCTGTGTCGCCCTCACTCCCAGCTGTGGATTGAGAGGTTGCTCTGGGGGTAGATTTTCCCACTGTGCTGACTGACTGCATCAGGCATCCTGAGCCCAACCTCATATCAGCCTCTGCAGCTGCTGGGGGGTGGGTATGTGGTTTTCTGTGATATCAAACAGACACTGATCCCGCCTTCCCCATTCCTACCCTCAAGGCATTAAAAGCCCCCATAGAAGTCACATCAGAGTCCAGCCAGATTACAGGTGGGGACTGCTTTCTGATCCACTCCATAAACTATTGCCCCACTCCAGAAACTGTACCACAGAACCGGGCAAGGGATCCCCATACAAATAGCAGGTATACTCCAGAAGGGGACACATCTTAGTGCGAGGCAAATGATGGTTGTACAACCAGCTGTCCCACCCCAGAGGCATCTGCATTACAGCACTGGGCAAGAGCTCCAATTATAAACAGCCTTTGTGCCTTTCCCCAGAGGCGGTTGCATCTAGATTAATAAATTCCAAGGCCAGAAGGGACCACTGTGATCATTTAGTCTGACCTCCTGGCTAACACAGGCCAGACACCTCCTCCCAAATAATCCCTAGAGCAGAGCTTGTAGAAAAACATCCAATCTTGATTTATAAATTGTCAGTGATGGAGAATCCACCTTTGGTAATTGGTTCCAGTGGTTAATTACTCTCCCCATGCAAAATTGAGGCCTTATTTCCAGTCTGAATTTGTCTAGCTTCCACTTCTAGCCATTGGATCCTGTTCTACCTTTCTCTGCTAGTTTGAAGAACACATGATCAAAGATTTGTTGCCCATATAGATACTTATAGAGGTAACCAAGTCCCCCCTTAACCATCTCTTTGTGTGTATGTTAGTTACAGAGGAAGTAGAAATTAGAAAGTGCTCTAGCCGCAGTTTAATGAATGAAGTCGGAAATCAGACACTTATATAGGAAATGGAACCAGAACTCGAAGCCATTAAACAATCATACAACTATCCACCCTTCTCTTTCCTATCAGATGCTGCTGCAAATCAGCTGCAAGGTGGGGGAACTGGCCATCTTAGCGTGCTGGGGACTGGGAGATGGGGCATTTCCCCTCTAGGGAGCACTGACCTTGGCTCCCATCTGGCCCCAGGGCAGGAGACTTGCTGGCTCAGGGCAGCGGGGAGTGGGACATGCAGCCTCTCTTTTCTAGTGGGTGCCAGCTTCGATCTAGCCTCAGGGCAGGGGATTGGCAGGCTGAGGGGAGTGGGGAGCATGCCGGGCGATGAGCACAGCAAGGGGGCGGGCTGCGGCAGGG